CCACGCTGCAGACCGATTTATTTGAGTGAAACTTCATTTCTGGTTCCTGGAACTACTTTAAGTGATTATTTTTAAACACTGGCAACCACGAAAATAATTTGTTATTTTTACTCTTTAATACTGAGGACTGTGAAACAGCACTGAACTTCTGAGCGGGTTAATCGGAGTAGTCTGTTTTCTGACTTGAGAACTGTAACTGGGTTTTCACATTTTTGTTATCTATTTTGACCATATCAACAAAGGCCTTCACATAATTGACCCTGCGGATCATTTTACCAGTATTTTCCAGACCATGGGGATTATGGCCCATGCGTGGCTCATAGTAAAACCTACTTAGCTGATCACAAGCAGCGAACTACTTTGCAGTGACAAAACAGAACAGAACACACGAGAGAGGACAGTGACGAGGACTGTGTGCTTACACGTGGTAAGGGTCATGACTCACTCATTTGATAAGTTGCTCCTGTGCTTGCAGGTACATGTGTACACATTTGCTATATAGACACACAAATGTATCATGTACATGTTTATACATTAATGTGTAAGGGTCATGATGTAAAACATACTTTACAAATTTTCTCAATTGATGTATAATTTACAAATGATTAAATTCAACATTTTGAGTGTGCAACTTTTGACACATGTAAAATGTATTTCTAACTATGTCCAAAAAGTGAGAAAACCATTTAAGGCAAGAGTCTACCTAACTATCTGGGGAGCTCACAAAGGAGGCTGCCCTTGTGAAGCCGTTGGAGGCAGTGACGATCATGTCTTGGTAGGTTACTCCATATGCTCCAAATTTTAGTCCAACAGGACCTGGGAGAGAGTCTGTTTGAGGGTTTAGGGTTTCCTGAATTAACTTTTAGCTGTGCAGCGACGCTCATGTGGCGTCCCTGTGGTGAGAACAGAGCTGTCTTGCAGAGATGGAGAAATAGTTGGAAAGCTGCCAATGGCAGTGGCCCCTGTGGATGGCAGTGCCAACCGGCCAGGGCAGCCAGAGCAGGTCGTTCGGGAGGCATGGGTTTGAAGAGGCTGGAGCCAGCACACAGGCCCCGAGCTGGAGGCCCAGGGCCTGGAAGGAGAGTAGTCAGACCGGGCAGTGGCTGCTCCCCGGCCCCCGCTGGTCTGCTTCCTCCTCCCGAAGAACACGGCCGGCACTCAGCTCTGGGTCCTGTTTAAATGCCGTCCTCTGTGTCCAGCCTGGCCGTATGGACTCCGCCCTCCTAGAACTCCTCTCTCTTCTCGCTTTGCCTCACACGTGAGGAGTGAGGACAAGGCAGAGAGTGAAAACTCAGGCTGGAGGTATGTAAGTCCTGCGTCCAAGGCCTCTCTCCCCCTCTCTCTAGTAGACACAGGGCACATGTGCTCTCCAGAGAGAGAGGAGACCCCTCATGGGGTGTGGTCACAGCACAGTCCTGTCCCCTCCATTTCTCCATCCTATACGGATGTGGGCCATGTGTGTACACATGCCCAACACAGTTCTCCAGCCAGCAGGGCTGAGATTCGAACTAGGCTCAGCCATGTGGGATCAGCTCCCTTAACCGCTAAGCTACGGAGCTGGTCCAGAGGCCTGTAGCTCTCTGTCTACTCAGCAAACCCATTTCGGTGTTGGGAATGTAAATGCTAAGAGCACAGAACCCAGCCTCTCTGTTCGCGTCTACCAAACAAGTCGGCCACAACTGTCCTCGACGCCTATACCCACCTCCCAACACACCCTACCAACGTGGACGGAGGAGGGCCAGGATGAGTGCCGCGGGGCGGAAGCCATGGCAGAGAGCTGGGCCGTGCCAGGCCCCGATGAGCAGGCCGTTGCCATGTACGCTTAGAAGATCACAGCAGCAAAAGGAAGGTCTGCTTCTGAGAAAAACCTGCACATCAGCCCAGGTAGCTCCCTCTCAGGTAAAGCCCGCAGTGGTACAGTTAGGGCGCTGGCTGCCCCAAGGCATCCTCAGACGTAGCTCATGCCAGTAGCCTCCGGACCCGCCCTCCCGGATGGTGTTCACGGCGTTTCCACTTTGGAGATCTCTCTCATTGCTAGGAAAATTATTACCATCTTTTTTCCCCTTTTATTATGATTTGAGATTTGGGTTTTTCTGTGGGAGTTGGGGTGATTTTCTGGATATCCCCGAGTTTTGCCATTACAGCCTGACTCGAGTGTAAAGTTTTCCATTGTTGGAATTCTCCAAATACTAGCGCCTGCTCACACGCCAGCACCCTGTTCTCTGCCAGGATCAGTGTTCTGTGAGTTACGAAGTCCACCTCCCTGCCACACCCCACCCCTGCTTCCCGATGAGGTCCTGAAAGGCAGGGAGCTCCTGAGCTGGGTGTTTTCTGCAGGGCTGGGGTGTGGGGCCTGTTCCGTTTTCCCTGAAATGCCAATTGAGCCTGCACTCGGACTGCCGGCGTTGAGCACAGGGTGTGGAAGGCAGAGAGCGCGCACGTGCTGACAGCTGCTCGGGGCGGAGGAGGTGACGATGGTAACTCCTCTTGGACAGGCAGACATTCGCAGTCATGAGGGCCACCCAGGCACCAAAACTCCCGGGGGGAGGGGATTCAGGGAGCAGTGACTGATGAGTGAAGCTGGTGACGGGTAGCTAACGATGTCGGAGCATTGTGACTACCTAGTGACTTGTCCAGTAGGGAAGCTGGGGGCCCCGACAGGCCCTCCAGGTGTCCAGTGCTCAAGCACAGTCCGCCATGCACGGCTCGCTGACGAGGCCGGTCCACGGAGCTCTGCATCTTATGTTTTCAGCATGGAAGGGAAGAGCTGCGTGTTGGTAGTGCAGGCTTCTCAGTTGTTGGGAATTGAATTTAAATCTCTGCTTGGCCAGTTACACTATGACCGGGGACATTTTATTTAACCTCTCTTGGCCTCTGTTTCCCCACCTATAAAACAGAGTGATGATGACCTTACAGAGCTTTTGCCAGTGGAAAATGAAATGATTTACATAAAGCATGTAACACAGTATCTGAGACATAGCACGTGCTCACAGTGCGTCCTGTTACTATGTTATGTATAAATGTTCATTAGTCAACCCATGAAACATCACATAGAAGTATTACTTTTCATGAAAAGATCTTCTTTAATAGATAATACAAAATACTTTTGCTTTAAGCTTATTTTCATTTAATTCTTCCAAAGACAGGAAT